AATCCTGCAGTGACAGAGAGAGAGAACCATTGGCTCAGTTGTGATCATACAATGTTCGGCGTCACATACTACTCATATTGTAAGACATCACTCGTTTATCAAGTTAAAATTTATTAGAAATGTTTGCCTGTTTGCAGAACACGTTACTCACAATCTAAGTGTTACTGTAACTATAATTTTAAAAGTACAAATACCACATTTGAGAAGTTTATAATTTTTAAAATTTTATTAAAAAATGTTTATTTGGGAGAGAAAAAGAGTGCAAGTGGGGGAGGGACAGAGAGAGAGAGAAAGGGAGAGAGAGAATCCCAAGCAGGCTTTGCACTGACAGTGCAGAAATGGGGCTTGATCTCATAAACTGTGAGCCATGACCTGAACCAAAATCAAGAGTCAGATACTTAACTGACTGGTCTACCCAGACACCCCTGTAATTTATTTTTAAATGACTCTACATTTGTTTAATATATTGCATTTGGTGATGCCTCCTCCAAAGCATGTCTTGTAGAAAGCAAAAATATACTGCTCATGATATAGGTCTTTTGTCAAGAATGACAGCATGTCATTATTTTACTTAGAAAATGATGACATAACGCCAAGTTATAAGAGTGAAGCACAAATTATATTTCACAAAAAACAGGTACTTACTTACTTCATGTGGGAATATAATTATAGTATTTCATAATTTTTCAAGCTTCACAGAAATATCCTAAGTAATTAGCCCATACAAACACTAAGAATTTGAAAGTTATTGCATTTTTTTTCTGTTGTATTTTTGCTTATGGAAAATTGTTTACAAGTTAATAATACTGAAAACTTTTGTTCAATATACTTATCTAACATAGATCATTCAGTAATTTAGATCTTACTAGGTGAATTCTGGAGACTCTTCTTATGGACTTATTCTTTTGTAATTTGATTGTCTTGTTTTCTAGCTCATGGTATCATTTTTTGGGTATTCTTTGCTGAACTTCTAGAATACCTATTCTCTAAAATGTATTACTTTATGTATTTCTGCTCTACCTGCCCCTGCCTTGATTGCTGTTTAGAATATTAGAATAACATTCTAGGGGCGCCTGGGTGGCGCAGTCGGTTGAGCGTCCGACTTCAGCCAGGTCACGATCTCGCGCTCCGTGAGTTCGAGCCCCGCGTCGGGCTCTGGGCTGATGGCTCAGAGCCTGGAGCCTGTTTCTAATTCTGTGTCTCCCTCTCTCTCTGCCCCTCCCCCGTTCATGCTCTGTCTCTCCCTGTCCCAAAAATAAATAAATGTTGAAAAAAAAAATTAAAAAAAAAAAAAGAATAACATTCTAATAGCTTTTGTAGCTGTGAAGTTTATACTGTTTCTGTTTTGTACATCAGGCTGCAGATGAGCTCCACCTAGCAAGACTTTTCTTTAGAATGAAGATAAAGCATTTTGCCAGAATCTGGGCAAGAACTGTGATTAATAGGCATAAGGTTAGGAATGAAAGTGCCTTCAAGTAAGCAATATAATTTTCAAATTGATGAGAAGGAACCAAAACTCACAAGAGCAAAGGGATTATAAGAAAATACCCATCTGTTCTGAATTAGTTCAGGTCTCTTGACCTAGATAAGTTATATTCCCAGGGACTGATAGTACCTTTGAATGGGATTGTGGAGCTACTCTTGGTGATCTTTGAGAAGACATAGAGAGTAAGAGGATAACATACAAATGCCATTCCAGGTATAAAATGGCCATAAATTATAACCAGGGAACTCAATTTCAGTTCCAGACAATATACTAGAACGTATTTATTAAAAGATGGTTTGTGAGGATATACTAGAGAAAACAGTAACCCTTGAGCCAATTTTATGTTTATTAAGAGAATCAGCATGTGGATGTTGTGTACAGTTACTAGGTCCAGGACCTATAGTAGCTATAGAATGTATAGACTTTATGAAGACATTTGACTGAGTTTGCCATAATATTCCTGAAGACAATATGGGTAAATATAGGCTGATTATAAAAATAATTGGATAGATTAATAATCAGTTGAAAAGTTGTACCTTCAACTCTTCAAATGTGCTGAGTAATAGATCAGTATCAACCAAGTAGATATGACATGCTATGGAGTTCTTTCCTCAGTTTTGTCATATTCAACACTTTAAATCAATGAATTAGATGGATAAAACAGCTTATAAGGATCAATTTTCAAAGAGACACAAAGCTTAGAATTTCCTGCACACCAAGTCAATACATAAAGGGAGTCTAACACATACATATCTTTAAGATACATGTGTGTCAGAGGCACCTGGGTGGCTCATTTGGTCAAGTTTCCGACTTCAGCTCAGGTCATGATCTTGTGGTTCATAGGTTCGAGCCCACTTTGGGCTCTACTGACAGCTCACAGCCTGGAGCCTGCTTTGGATTCTGTATCTCCCTCTCTCTCTGCCCCATCCCCACTCTCTCTCTCTCTCTCAAAATAAAAATAAAACTTAAAAAAAATAAAAAGATATATGTGTCTAAGATATGTATGTACAGATATATATGTTATTAATTTACTTACATTATAATTATAATTTAATTTTCTGCACTTCAATGTGAAAAACCAGATACACAATAGAATGGGGGTTATTGGTTGCAAGAAATAGGTAGCATAAGGAGGAAAGAGAATAGTGCAGGAAGATTGGGCATGGATCCCAAAGGACAGGTAGGGAAGCTAGGTTGCACGAGTAACTGAAGTGAGGAATTTGAAGGTCATTGGTTCCTTTTTTCCTCTCTTACTTTGGATCCAGATTATCTTTGTCTCATCTTGTCTGTGTATGTCTGCTCACCCTTCTCTCTCATTCCAGTAATGTGGCTAACTCTGTGTGGAAGATCCGTCTCCATTCAGGCTGCCCTAAAGGTGTCCCAAATACTTGGGTCTTCAACACTTACAAGTCTGGTTGGCTCATCCCAGCCTAGGGCTTCGTTCTTCTAGGTCTGATATCCAGTCCTCATCCCCCAGTCAGCCATGGCTACGGTTGATGGGTGGAGGGAGATTTAGTCACATTACCAGAGCAGCCAGGACTGTAGAAGATGAATTCTCTAAAAAAGCAAACATAGGTGAGAAGGAATAGATTGGTATATTTAATATAATGGAAGATGGTTTCACACTGAAGCATTTTTTAAATAGGGGCTTTATTTAACACAAAAGCAAGTAATATATAATATCAACGTATAAAAAATAGAAAAGACTGTTGTGAACGAAGGTTGCATTACAAGATACTACCAATGATATTACCTATGAGATATTAGAATGAGGGAAGTTTGAGCCCTCTCTTACTCTGTTTTAGTGAGACCAACCGTGCTGGAGTATTAAATTCTGGGGACCAAACTTTGAAACATGTATAGAACACTGGAACAGGTTCAGAGAAAATTATTCAGAATAAGGAAGAAATTCAAAACCATGTCATATGAGAAACAGCTGAAGGAATTGGAAGTCTTGACCTGGAGAAGAGAAGATAATGGAGTGCTCCTGATAGCTGTCTTTAAATATTAGAACGAGGTCTAGGGTTGTTGCACATGGTTACTGGGAGATTTAGGGCCAGTGCACTTACCAAGGAGGCAGATTTGGGGTCAGCATGAGAAGCTCTGAGGATAGAACAGGCTGCTTTACAAACTAGTTTCCCATCATTTGGGAGGTTGAAATAGAATCTGGATAACTTTTTATCCAGGTTAGAATAGATTGTATGAACCCGTCCAGAGCTTGCGCCAAGTTACTTTTATGATTTGTTTCAAACTTGTTGTTTTACAAATCTGTAAATTTGGTATCTCTGGCAGTTAGATGGTTGATGTGGTCATTCACCTGTATCCCACAGTATTGCAGTTTTTAATTTGAAATTTTTGTTATTGAACTTTAGATGAACAAAATGATACTATGTAAAGATTTGTTATTTGTTTCAACTGACTCTTGTGTAATGGCATTGACAGGTGGGTGAAGTGTGTCACTCTTAGTTGTGGGAGCAGTTTCTACAGTCTTAAGGGAGTTTTCATTAAGAGTAAGTACCCCTCGAATACAAGTGTTGCTTTCATTTTAGCGCCCTGGGGCAAATATTTAATGAAGCCATCTCTTAGCCTTTGTGAATAGCAGGACGAGTAGAGTCTACTTGAGGAATATTTATATGCTTGAGACAGAAAAAAGAATTACCTCTCTCTTCACTTTGCTGGAATTCCATTTTTCACTGCCCTTATGCTGGCCAGAGATATATGAACTTCTTATTTATTTAAGAAGTAAGAGGGTTAAGCTGACACACCCATAGCAGAAAAATATGACACAAATGGTTACAGGGGGTAGGTTTTAGATAGACCTGGGTTTAATCCCAATGTCTCCATATACCAACTGGTTGTTTAACTTCAGTGGTTTCCATTTCCTTATCTATAAAATGGGTATAACCATACCTACCTGAAGGGAAAAGAACAGAGTTAGAAGAGATTGGGTTTAAAATGTTTTTGCTATTTATGGTTATATGAGAGAATTCTGTTGTAAATTCTGTAAAAATCATAAAATATTAAAACCGAACAGGAATTTAAGAGTTCATTTGGTCCAATGCCATAATTTTATAAATGAGGAAAAATAAGATCTGAAAAAGCCAAGAGACATCTCCAGGATCACAGTGCAGCTGGCAGTGAAAGGCCAGCGATTTCTCTCCACTTCATGGAAAACTCATCTTAAAACAAGAATTATAAAGATGTTTTCATCATTTTTTGTTTTATTTTATGGAAAATATTTCAAGAGTAAATCTTTCTTAGAGATACTATGGAGAAGCAATCACTCTGAAAGACCCTTTTTTAATTCCAAGATTCTGTGTCAGAGTCAATGTCATGCCAGTTTTTAAAATTTTATCCAGATGTCAGCAACATCATAATTATTACTCCATGGCATAGTCCAGTGTGCATTTACTTCATTTGACCAGCGTGGTTGCAATAACATCCTCAGTGGAACTTTGCCAGAAATTTAAAAATATCATTTCAATGTATGTATGTATATATGTCTATTTTCTAGATGTCCCCTGAAGAAAAAGTTTGTAGGTACTGTGGAGTCAGCTATCTAATTCTTCACGAGTTTAAAGCTATGGAAGAAAAAATGAAAGCGATGGAAAAAGAGATGAAATTTTATCAAGGAAGTGTAGATCGTGAACAGAGACTTCAAGAAAAGCTACGGTCTCTTAGTCAAGATTTTGAACAGTACAAAATTAACAATGAATCCAAAACAGAAAGGTATATTATTCTTTTCTGTCATTTATTTAGTTTGAAAGGAAAGTACAGGAAATAAATAGACTTTGAATGTTTTTCTGGAATTTCTCTATATCAGGTATAACTTACACTTTAATACACCTATGTTTGTTCATTAATTATTACTAACTGTTAAACCTAATTATTATAGTTTGAGCATTTCTTTTGAGGCATAATATTTACTATTTGAATAATTAGAAACTAGTTCATTCAGTAGTCATAGTTGGGATGGGTCAAGTTATATTTTTCCCCAGATATATATCTTAATTTATCATTAGAAAGATTTGTCTATCAAAATCAGGTGAATTTTGGTTGTTTTGCGACTTAACATTTGTTTTTAAATGGCCTTGAATATTTAGATTTATAGCATAAGGTTTTCATGTTTTGAAAGGATGCCAAAACATTAAAATTGGTACATAATTCTAAGTCACTGAAATTGGAATAAAATTAAAGATTGGGTTCCTAATTGCTGCTGAATCTAATCAGCAATTTAGTCTGCCTAAAGACACTTCAGTATGTTTATACAGACACTCTGCTCTGACAGAGATTCTTTTGTTTGGGGTATTCACATTTTACTTTCTTTAATAGAATATTGCATTATATAAGTCATATGAACACACAAAATAAAAGAAGTAAACAGAAGTAAAGGCAAAGAATTCCCTTTTTATTCTGATTACTTTCTTCTTACTGGAGAGAAAACCGCTTTTAATGGTTTGGTGTATATCTTTCTAGATACTTTATTGTGCCTTTTCTTTTATTATAGATATATTTCTTTAAAATATCTAATATATATGAGCCACTTAATTACATACATTGGAAATTGTTCCGTGTTAGTGTGTATAGATCAATCTTGTTTTTAACTGTTACACTTTCCTTCTTAAGAATATGCCGTAATTTACTTATTTTTCTTTTCAACATTTAGATTATTTCCAATACTTCTTATTACAGGTAGTATTTTTTTTACAGATAGTATTTATATTTATATTCTTGTGTACATGTGTTTTTCATGGGATAAATTCCTAGAAGTGAAATTGCTGAAAGAAAGGAAATGCCAGCTTAAAATTCTGATAAATGGGGTGCCTGGGTAGCTCAGTCAGTCAGCTATGTATCCGACTCTTGATTTAGTCTCGGATCATGGTCTCCCGGTTCATGAGATTGAGCCTAGTGTTGGGCTTTGTGCTGACAGTGTGGAGCCTGCTTGGGATTCTTTACCTCTCTCTGCCCTGTCCCCCCTTCAAAATAAATAAATAAACATTAAAAAAAATAAAATTCTGATAAATGTATACCAAATTGTCCTTTGAGAAGATAGTGTTAATTTGACCAATAGTTTATAAGACCGTTTTCCTACATGTTCATATTAGAGTTTTCAATTTTTTTCGAATATTTACTTTTTTCTTGAGTTTTCATTGTTGTTTAATTTGTGTTTCTTTGTTGCTAATGAGGTCGAACATTTTTTCATGTTTATTAGACATTTCTGTGTTTTCCTCTACTAAGTACTCGTTCATATCTGTTGTCAAAATTTCTATTGGGTTATTTGTTTATTTTTGTTTATTTATAGGAGTTTTTAATAAAATATGGACATTATTTTTGGTTTATATATGTTGCTAATATTTCCTCATGTTTGCCTATCTTTTTGTTTATTGTGTTTTTCTGTGTTGATTTTTTATTTTTTTAACATTTCATGCCAAATTCTGGTCCAGGTTCTGTGTCAAGTTCTTTTGATTGCAAACAACAGAAACTCACTCTGGCTAACACTAACCTAGATTCAGGCAGGTTGAAAACACAACATATGTCTAAAACTTTTATAGTACTGCTGTTTTAGTTAACTTTTTAATCTATTTGGAATTAATTTTGTCTGGTGGATTTATAATTTCATATTTATTCTTTTTGAAATGTATGGCTTGTCTCAATATCATTCATTAAATTTTCATTCTTTCTCTTTTGATTTGAAATGCCACCTAGTAATTTCTATGCTAGTCTATTTCTGGACTCTCTGTTTTATGCTATTGATCTATTGCTTATCAGTGGGTGTCTTAGTCCATTTGGGCTGCTATAACAAAGTACCATAGACTGGGTGGTTATAAACATTATTTATTTGTTTCTGACAGTTTTGCAGGCTGGGAAGTCCCACGGTGCTGGCATATTTGGAAGGGTTCCTCCCTCCTACTCTTTCCTGGTTTGGTGTTTTTGCTATGTCCTCACATGGTGGAAGAAGCAAGGGAGCTCTTCCAGGTTTCTTTTATAGGTGCACTAATCTCATTCTTGAGGATAAAAATCCTATGTGCTATGCCTATTCATCTTTTCGTCCCTTTTAAAGACTGGCAACCACTGATCCATTTGTTGTCTTCATAGTTTTGTTTTATCCAGAATGTTGTATAGTTGGAATCATATAATATGTAGCTTTTTCAAGTTCTTTTACTCAGTAATATGCATTTGAGTTTCTTGCATGTCTTTTCATGGCTTGATAGCTTACTTCTTTTTAGCATTGAATAATATTCCATTGCCTGGATGTTCCACAGTTTATCCATTCATCTACTGAAGAGCACCTTGATTGTTTCCACGTTTTGGTAGTTATGAATAAAGCTGCCATAAGTATTCATGTGCAGGTTTTTGTATGCAGATACATTTTCACCTCCTTTAGATAAATGTCCAAGTGTGATTGCTGGGTCATACAGTAAGAGTATGGATAATTTCATAAGAAACCTCCAAGTTGTCTTCCAAAGTGGCTCTATCATTTTGCATTCCTGGCAACAATGAATGAGTGAGAGTTCCTGTTACCACATACTCACCAGAATTTGGTGTTGTTGGTATTTTGGATTTTGGCCATTCTTATAAGTGTGTATTGGTATCTTGTTGTTCTAATTTTCATTTCCCTGATGACATATGATGTTGAACATCTTTTCATATGCTTGGTATCTGTATATCTTTGCTGAAGTGTTTATTCAGATGTTTTGCCTATTTTAAAATCAGATTGATTATTTTCTTATTGTTGAGATTTAAGAATTCTTTGTATATTTTGGATAATAGTCCTTTATTGGATGTGTCTTTTGCACATACCTAATTTTTCTCCTGTTATTTTCTAGGAATTTTATACTTTTGCATTTTATATTTATATCCATGATACATTTGAGTTAATTTTTGTGAAGGTTGTAAACTCTGTACTTATATTCTTTTTTTTTCTTTTTTCTTTACTTTTTTTTTTTTTTTGCACTTGGATGGCTTATAGTTGCTCCCAGCGTGATATGTTAAATAGATCATCTTTGCTCAATTGTATTGCCTTTGCTCCTTTGTTGAAGAGCAGTTGACTGTAGTATTTATGTGGATCTATTTCTTTTTTTCTTAAAGTTTATTTATTTATTTTGAGAGAGAGGCAGTGTGAGTGGGGGAGGAACAGAGTGAGAATCCCAAGCAGGCTCCGCACTGTTAGCACAGAGCTTGATGAAGGGCTCAAACTCCCAAAACCGCGAGATCATGACCTGAGCTGAAGCCGGACGCTCAACCGACTGAGCCACCCAGGAGCCCTCATGTGGATCTATTTCTGGACTCTGTATTCTGTTCCATTAGTATCTTTGTCTGTTTTGTTTTGTTTTTGTTTTTGTTTTTTTTACTGGTACTACATTATCTTGATTATTGTAGTTTTGTAGTAAATCTTGAAGCCAGGTAGTGTCAGTCCTCCAAATTTGTTTTTTTCCTTCAATATTGAGTCGGCTATTCTGGGTCTTTTGTCTCTCCATATAAACTTCAGAATCTGTGTGTTCATATCCACAAAATAACTTGTGGGGTTTTGATTGATACTGAATTAAATCTATACATCAAGTTGGGAAGAATTGATATCTTGACAATATTGAGCCTTCCTATCCACACACGGAGTAACTCTCAATTTATTTAATTGTTCTTTGTTTTCTTTCATCTACATTTCATTTTCTTATATAGATCTTATACATATTTTGTTAAGAGTTTTTCACGGTTATACCTACGTATTTAATTTTTTGGGGGGGTTGCTAATGTAAATGGTAATCTGTTTTTAATTTCAAATTCCATGTAGTTATAGTGTATAGGAAATTTATTGACTTTTGTATGTTATGTATTTTGTTACGTATTTTCTACATAGGTGATCATATAGATTTGCATACTATACATTTCAATAAGTTGTATTTTCATTTTCATTTAGTTCAAAGTATTTTTAAACTTCTCTTGTGACTTCTTCTTTGACCCATATGTTATTCAGAAGTGTCTTTTTTTATTTCCCAGTATTTGGGGATTTCTCAGCTCTTCTGTTTCATTTGTAGTTTAATTTCCTCATGGAATCAGACATTGTATGATTTTAATTTTTTAAAATTGTTAGGGTGTATTTTATGGCCCTGAATGTGGCCTAACTTGGTGAATGTTCCATGTGAGCTTGAGAAAAATGTATGTTCTGCTATTCTTGGGTGAAGTAGTCCATAGATGTCAATTATATCAATTGATTAATGATACTGTTGAGTTCATCTATGACCTTACTGATTTTCCACCTGCTGTATCTGTCCATTTTTGTATCAAAGTCTTCAACCATGCTAGTGGATTTATTTATTTCTCCTTGTAATTCTATAAGCTTTTGCCTCACATATTTTGATGCTCTGTTGTTAGGCTCTGTCGTTAAGGATTATTATGTCTTCTTGGAGTATTGACTCCTTTATCATTACATAATACCCCTTTTCAACTCTGATAACTGTCGTTGCTCTAAAGTCTTCTCTGTCTGAAATGAATACAGACATTCTCACTTCTTTTGATTAGTGTTAGCATGATATATCTTTCTCCACTGCTTTATTTTTAATCTACATGTGTCTTTATATTTAAAATGGGTTTCTTCCAGACAACATATACTTGGGTCTCATTTTTTCATACACTCTGTTAATGATTCCAATCATTAACATTCAAAGTACAGTAAAACCTTGGAATGTGAATCACTTGTTCTGTGACTGTTCCACAAGACAAGCAAGCATTTC